AAAAATACGAGGTCATGAGAGCTAAGTCAGTGGTAGAGAAGAAAGTAACGGCCAATGAAAACTTACCACTTGACCTAAGAGCATTGGAAAAATTGTCTCTAAACCCAAGCTTAGAGCAGTTTCTTACAAAATCGTTAACTGTTGTAGAGAGAGCCTTAGCAGAGGATTATGATATTTTAGTGGATTATGGTTCAACTTCGTCTGTATCGGGATTAGAAGCTTCAGATACCGGAGTCAATCAGAGTCAAACATTTTACTCTTCGGAGTTTTCGAAGGGTCGGGCTATCACATCACTAAATTGGTCAACTAAGTTTCCGGAACTTTTAGCAGTATCTTATACATCACCATCTTCTACGCCGGCATCGTTGACTCCTGCATCCAATCGACAATCCTCTTCCCTTAAGGGGTTGGTCATCGTATGGAATACACACTTGCCAAGCCGGCCTGAGTACGTATTTCAGTCACAATCATCAGTTCTTTGTGCATCTTTTTCGTCGTTTCATCCTCATTTAGTTTTTGGATCTTGTTATAATGGTCAAATTGTTACGTGGGACATGCGTGACAAGACGCCAATGGCTCACCCTGTACTCAAATCGCTGTTGACTGGTATTTCGCATACATATCCAATCTATGCTTTAGAAATGCAAGGAACCCAGCATGCTCCTTCAATTGTTTCAGCGTCCACCGATGGTACAGCTTGTATATGGGCGGCTGATATTTTGGCAAAGCCACAGGAACGACTAAGTCTTTCAGTTCCACCCTCATTATCCAAGTTTCGAAACGATGATGTAGCACCAACCTCGCTAATATTACCACATATGGACACCTCCTATTTTTTAATTGGAACCGAAGAAGGTACTATTTATCATTGTAACAGATACGACCGGGCTAATACAAGATCTGGAATTGATCCGAAAATTTGCTATCAGGGTCATGATGCACCGGTAACATCTATGGACCTTCACTCGAATAAAGGGCCAATTGACTTTGGCAATTTATTTTTATCCACATCATTAGATTGGACGATTAAACTGTGGAAGTTATCAGGTACTACAACTCATGCATTAAATATTGATGGCCAGCCATCGATATTACCCAGAACATCTCTAACTCACCTTGATGAGAGTAAAATAACGCCCATTTTGGATATTTCACATGAAAATATCGTATACGAAGCTAAATGGCATCCAACGAATCCCGCTATATTTGGTTGTGTGGATGAGTCAGGCCACTTAGAGATATGGGACTTGAATAAGGATATTGAGGCTCCAATAATTAGGGTAAAGCCATTTAATGATAACAAAAAAAAAAAGAGCACCAGTTTCGAAGGTGAAGTATTACAAAGGCCGTTAAATAGATTAGACTGGTCACATAGTGATGGTAAAAAGATAGCCGTTGGCGGAATAGATGGTGTGGTAACTGTGTTCGATATAAAAGAGAGTATCATAGAAACTTCAGGTAATGAATGGATATCACTTTCCAACCAACTAGCCTCTATTTGAAGTTTTGGGGTGTATATTTAGCCTATATTAAAAATTCAAGCGAACATTTTTGGTAGCTAATTGAAAGGTTCAATGGTAATAACATAATGAAATTGAATAATGATAGGATAGTAATACAAATAAAAAGGCATAAAAACATAGAGCACAAAAAATGTCAAGTATAGAGTGTAAAGAGAAAGTATAAATTGTCAAATAGAACTATAAAGCGTTAACAGTGTCCCACGTATCAGAGTACAAGCCGTTTTTTCCGCTAACGTGAATTTCGCCGAAAGTCTCTTCCTGGCTCAAACTAATAGAGTCCTTTGTTGCCAAAATTAGCATCTCAAAGAAGGTTCTAACGGCAACCTTTCTATTGCCGGCACTAGTATTAGATCGTTCTTTAATGACAGTGTCCAAAACTACGGACACAGCGCCAATGTTTTCTTTATTAACCCCCAAAGAATCAAATTTAGTTCTAAGAAATTGAACTGTTTCGATAGTTGATTTCGATACATCATTAATATTTCTCTTCGGAAAGGAAGGTTCTTCTTCTGAGACAATTTGTTCACTTTCTTCGGCTTCAGACTCCTGCGTTGATCCAACAACTGATTCTTGAGATACATCCAGATCAACATTAGCGAAGCCAATACCAACTGGGGTAATGGGTCTAGCTTCAATTGCTTGTAACTCTGTGTCACTTTCAAGGATAATGTTTTCTTCATCAAATGAAGGCATTTCATGTAAAATGTGCTCTTCTAGGTGAGTTTCTTCAACTATAGCACGGGCTGACGAAAGAGCACCCTCCAAATTTTCAGTAGATATCTCAGGACTAAGCGCCTCGACTATACCTAAACGGCCTTCGATAGCTTGTGCACTAATAGGTTCAACTTCGGGTATTTCGGTTTCTTTTAAAAGTTCTCGTTTTCTTTTGAGTGCCTCCAAAACCCGTCCAGGATTTAGCGCGCTTGCTAACATAGGATTCAGTTTATTTTCATTGAAAACTACAGAAGTTAAAAATTTGGCAGGAGTTGCGCTGAATTCAAGATAATTTTTAACGAACGGATCATATGGCAACTGAGCATGTTGCTTAAGTATAGAACTACGATCTCTCTGCATTGCCATAACAGCAGAACTACGAAGCTCTGTAGTAGCATCATACCTAGCACGCTTTATTAGGTGACGTGTAGTTCGTGCGGTAGGGCCTTCCTCCATATCTTCACCATATAGTCCAGCGATACCTTCGTGCAAACTAACGTCATGTAAATCAATAGCACCAGGAGTTTCGGGAATTTCCTCATCGGAAGGAATAAGTCCAGGTAATCTTTCTTCTTCACCTTCAGGACTTACCTTTTCAAGCATGGCAGCTCCAGGAAGTTGAAGCGCTCCATTACCACCAAATTCATCGGCTAAGGTACGACCAGGAGGTGCCTCACGGCCCATTTCAATTGATATTTCGCCTTCATGTAAACCCATATCCATATCCATATCCATGTTTATATCTAACTCGGGTAACGGTGACATGCCGGCAATATGACGTTCCATATTAATGGGGGAAGACAAATTTTCTGCTCTGGTCACATCACCTTCAAAGCCTAAGCCTAAGTTGAAATCATCATGATCACCCATTCTAGCTAATTCATAATCCTCTTCGTGAGTTATACCACGCCCCATTTCAACAGAAGCATCAAAAGTGGTTAAATTAATGTCAGCATTTAATCCCGATGGTAATCCGGTTAAATCAAATTGACCAAGGTTTAAATCAAAATCTCTGAGATTACCAAAATCTAAATCTAGTACAGGTTCAGGTAAAGCAGCAAGATCCAAGTCAGTGATAGCATTTTGTAAAGTAAGAGCTGAGGAAGAAGCAACTGTTGTACCACTAGGTAAATCGACCATTCCAGGCCTAAATGTCATTCTGAGTTTCAAAACTGCTTCATTACAATCGTCTAACAAATATTTAGTTTTCTTGCCATAAATTTTGACTACACCAAGTAAAAGCTGACCTGAGACTCTTAAAGCCAAAGGGCCAGCTTCATTATGAACAATCGCATCCACGGAACTGACGATATTTGTACGTAGAAATTCATTTTTGGAAAGCTTTCTTTCCAAATTAGAAGCCAGCCAAACACGAGCTAAAGGCCCTTTATTTTGTAAAAGTTGATCCGAGTAAAGCATTTTTAGTGAATATGTTTTGTTAACTTAGCGTTGCTGGAAATATATTCGAAAGAGGTCGAGTCTCGAAAAGATATAGCACACGTCGCGTAAATTGTGGCAGAGTTGAGCGGTGAACAGGAAAAGAAGAGCGATATAGTGTAAAACTGAAAAAAAAATCCCAAAATAAAAAGACGTAAGTTTTCAAGCTCAAGTTTAAATCAATTTATTTAGTTCAAGAGTAATAAACGTTGAAAGACTAATATTCAAGGTTAAAGTAATTGTAGGTTGAAAGTCGCGCGGTTAATCCCAAAAAGGTCGCGTCAGTAAAGTCGCGTTTATCACAGATTTCAATTCTAAATATATAGCGCGAATTATTGGGCAAACCATAATTACGTGTTCCAGCGCACTACCTCCGCTTTTAAAACTAATAAACAATAAACTATAAACTGATATATATATATAATACCAAAACCTTATAACAATATGTAGCAATGAAAAGTTGCCCGCTATGCCCTGTGCTCGATATGTCTTGTGCACCACATTTTATACACCGACCTTTTACAAATATTTCGCGAAGCTTATATTACCAGGTTCAATTTTTTATTATAAAAGCGGAGTACATTTACAAGTTATAGTGGAATATATGTTTTTTTTGTGAATATTTTTTTAACTTCTAAATACTATTCAGATCAGATTTAATTGAAAGCTACGGCTGGATAAATATCCCTTTGATGAGATAGAAGGGTAAAAGTCGAAGTATGAAAAGCGAGAGTTGATCGGCTGATGACTTTACAAGAGTATTCGTGCAGACGGCGAGCAATCGAGATTCATTAGGAAATTTAGAAAATAAATCTCCGTACTGAAGAACTCTAGAATAATCCAAGGAAACAACTTTCTTCGGTGTAATCAAGGTTCAAGCAAAAAAGAACATGTTAACGGTCACAGATGATGAGGCATTATTATAAACACAAATACCTAATGCCTTTTCGTACAAAAGGAGTTGATGAAAAAAGTCCAGAGACAGACTTTTTTTCTTTTCTAACCCGAACCACATAAAGAGAAAAAACAACGGCAGCAGAAATGCGCCAAAGAATAAATACTTGATAAGTTTAGGTCAAGTTAATTAAAGAATTGGGCGTATTCTTATTTTGTTCTTTTGTGTCATTCCTAGGTGCCAAATATATCTTAGTATGCTGACTAATATGTTTTTTTATTCAGTTTTTGAACTTCGGGAACTATAGGATATACTGTCGGATAATAACCTTGAAAAGAACTTAATTTGTGTTGATTTTAGTAAATATGTGAAACAAAACATTTCATTCACTCTAGAATCTACAAGAGTTTCTTATTAGAGTGAGAAAAAAATGATTGCTGAGGGATTCGAACCCTCGCCTCTTGCGAGACCCGAATGCACTTACTGTGTAGCGAAGAGAACGTCTCTTGAGTCGGGCGCCTTAGACCACTCGGCCAAACAACCTTTGTTGTAACCGAACAAATTTAAGTAAATTTAAACTATGTATGATTCGGGAAGAAAACCACTAATTTTCAGAAATGATATCACAAATATGTTATCTCATGAGCATTTTTAGAGTCTATCCTAAAAGATATATAAATAGCCAATTGAAACTGTACTATAGTCTCGCTATTGCCGCCGTAAGCTTCCAGTTCTATTGATTTTTTCGTGTTACATGTAAGGTTATCGTTTTTCTGAATAGATAAGCAGGCTTTGGATTTTGAAGGATTGTTGATTTAGGCTATTACATTTTCTATTTAATTCCAATCGTTACCTACTTTAGAGGGATGAGCCCAAAATCTGTTAGTTGTATCTCAAACTGATTCGATAAATCTCCTTGTAATCCCCCAGTTTTCAGAAATATAAATGTAATTTTATGGTACAATAACCATAATAAGAATTACATAACTGACCAAAATTTATCAAGTAAACACTTCATAAAATCAGGCACTTAAATGGGAAAAATATCAATATTTATCAATATTTTCAAACATATCAGTTTCAAAATTGAAAGAACAAAATTAAATGCATCACCAAAAATCGAGAAAGTTACACTTTTGCTTCAACTATACTGAAAAAGTAAACTAAATTAAATAATTTACTCCCCTTTAAGTTTTAAAAATGATAATCATGAAGTAAATTAATCCGGGTAAATTAAATCAGGATTAGAGAGAAAAGGCTTCACAATATCTAGATGGTAATAATTGAAAAAGAGAACATCATAACTAAAAGAATTTTCACGATTCTAAACGTAAAGGAAACAAAAGATAGCTATGCCGAATAGATTCCACATGATAGGACCAAACTTAGCTTTGAAATGAAATGGGTGAAAACGAGGCGTAAAGCAGGCTGGCTCTTCTTGCAACAATCAAAAACCGTAGATTGTTTTGTAAAGAATCAGTAGTGTATGACTATTGCCACTTGATACTTGGCTTATACAAAACATATACGGTATAAAGTAATGGATTACCCTGTTCTAAATACTGATTGACTAGAGTACCATATTCATGTTAACTACGGCTAAGGAAGCGAACCAGTAATAAGCTTCGCTTTCGACTCAAGGTTGTATTATATAACGAGAATTGTATATATATATATTTACACAAAAAAAGTGTTTTGAATACCCATTGATAGAAACTAAAAGGGCTTCAAAAATCATGGCTGGCGCCAATGTTAGTTATTTTTTTTGAAAGCTACGCTCGTCAAGAAGAATTAGGAACCTTGTAGATTACACCAGTTCAGAGAAAACAGAGAATACTCTTGGGGCTGGGGCGGGAGGTACTGGGCAATGTCTCTAATTCGTAGGCCAGGTAGACTATGCCCCGTGGTTATGGCCTCATTTTACTGAAGCAATCAGTTGGTTCAGTTGCATGTGGCTAGATATCCCTCTAACCCAATCAACCCAGTCACTAGTTTTGAAAAGACGTGAGTCAAGAGTGTTGAGTCGTATTACTCCCCCAATATCAGATGATCTTGCCATTTCTTTTTACAACAAAAAAAAAAGAAGCGTGTTTCGATTAGAAGAAATGGAAAAGACTTGAAAAAAAGCTTTAATGAATTTTATTTGTACCTTTTATTTTAATTGACGAATAAACAGACGTCAAGAATTAAGAACTGGCGTATTAATCCTGATTCAACTGCAGGTGTTGGTCTGCAGAGACTCCAATGACTCCAACCACACACACATAAACGGACTCCGAACGTGACTCCAACGACTCCAAAACTCGTGCATAGTCACATCATGACTCCATATGGCGGCCTATATACCGCTATTTTGAAACATATTCATGCAGGTTTCCAATATCAAAGTTGTGAGCAGGACACTTATCATTGAACGATCGACGAGATATACCAGTAATACCAGCTCAATGCCCAATTGAGCAATTTTTTGTTCTTTTGCCGGAAATGTATAGAATGAGCGCTGTAGTTGTGGTACGACTTTAATGCTTCTGGCTGGCTGATTGTATGAACAGATATCGGACTCCTAAACTACACGTCATTCGGGGTTGTGCATGCACGTTGTTTCAATCAAACTTTTGATTTATCGGATAATTTAGCGGAAAGAAAAAAGATATAAAAAGGCGGTGAATTTCGCTAACTTACTTCATTTACCTTTTCCCTATAGTTTCTTACAACAAAAGCAACCACTCAATAAACAACAAGTATGTGTCTGCCAAAGTTTGCTATTCTCTGCGAAATAATACTAACCCATATGCTCTTCATTATACAGTGTCCTCCAACAAGATTACCTTTTTACTCAACTGGCAAGCCACCCCTTACCACGCCCCTATTTACTTAGCTCAATCCAAGGGCTACTTTAAGGAAGAAGGTATTGATGTTGCCATTCTTGAACCCTCCAACCCCAGTGATGTCACCGAACTCATTGGTACTGGTAAGGCCGATCTTGGTCTCAAGGCTATGATTCACACCTTAGCTGTAAGTTTTTTAAACATTAAATATTTGTATTTAGAGTAAAGTGTTTACTAACTTTGTCATTTTCTTATTTTTTAAAGGCCAAGGCCAGAAACTACCCTGTCACCTCAATTGGTTCCCTCTTAGATGAACCCTTCACTGGTATTCTTTACCTTGAAGAGTCTGGTATTACCGACTTCCAATCCCTCAAGGGTAAGCGTATCGGTTACGTTGGTGAATTCGGTAAGATTCAATTAGATGAATTGACCAAGCACTACGGTATGACCCCTGATGACTACACTGCCGTTCGTTGTGGTATGAACGTTGCCCGTGACATTATTGACGGCAGCATCCACGCCGGTATTGGTATTGAAAACGTCCAACAAGTTATGCTTGAAGAACACTTAAAGTCTCAAGGTAAGGACCCCCGTGGCGCCAAGATGATGAGAATCGACGAGTTAGCTTGTTTGGGTTGTTGTTGTTTCTGTACTATTTTGTACATTGGTAACGATGACTGGCTCGCTGCCCACCCCAAGGAAACTGAAGCTTTCATGCGTGCTATTAAGCGTGCCACTGACTACGTTATCAATGACCCCAATGAGGCTTTCAGTGACTACTGCAGATTCAAGACTGAAATGGGAACTGACTTGAACCAACGTATCTTTGAAAGATCTTTCGCTTACTTCTCTGCCACCCTTCACAATGTCCACCGTGACTGGAAGAAGGTTACTGCCTACGGTAAGAGAATTGAAGTTCTTGACCCTGACTTTGTTGCCAACTACACCAACAAGTACCTCGGTTGGGAAGAACCCGAAGACAACCAAGACCCTCTTGAAATCCAAAGAGCCATGGCCAAGCACCAAGAAAACTGTAGAATCAACGGTGGTTACCGCAGATTGGTTATGGCTTAGGTCAATCTTAAATTTGACTATACTGCCCTATAGTTAACTCTATTTATTTAAAAAAAATCCAGTTCTGTGGCTTTAATAAAATTTATTTATACCTAAACAATACTTTTTTCATAAAATTTATTTATAACTAAAAATACACTTTTTCGTAAAGTTTAATGATAATTTAGCTGATAGATATCTAAATTATATTTTCAAAATATACAATAGACTAAGAGATTACCTATATGGAAAGTTTAGTAGTAAGTTAGATCTCGAAAGATCTAGGTCTTCGTTCGAGGCTGTCCACGTGTACCAATCACTATCGAACGATTGAAGATAATTTCCGTCAGATGTCAGATTGAAGTGTTTGTTATTGTTAAAAACTTCGCCCAGTTGAAAATCATGATCGGGCCCCGAGGGCGGAGAAGGGGGAAAATTTCCAAAGAGGTTTTCGTTACCCGTCATACTGTATAGATTATCAGTGGGTGCCAGTTTTACAGGCAATGCATCAGACTTACTAGGCTGGCTGTAAGGCATCTTTTTGGGCCAGCCTAGCTGTAACGAGAGCGATAGTTCATTATTAGCGGGGCTACTTGTATTAGCTATGCTGCAACCCTTAGCATCAGGGCCGACATGATAACTGTTGTCTGATACCATGCCATTATGCTGGGTATTATTGGTGACATGGGGTTTTGTAGTGTGTGGTAAAGAGGAGGATGAGGTAAACGGGGCGATGTTATGATGAGGAGGGGAATCGAAACTATCATCGGCGAAAATAACATCGGGTGAAGATTCGATTTGGCAGTTGAAATTGGATGAGCAGGGTGAGTGAAACGACACTGGAGACGGAGATAGTGCAGATAGAGTAGAGTCCTTGTTGGTGAAGGACAAGTCGACTGGGGTTTGTAGTAACGTTTTTGTTGAAGCATGATGTGGTTCATTTTTTTTAATTGATGCGACTTGTTTTTGATTTAGTTCGAATTGGGTCCGTTCCTTTGATGAGGCCCACGACGAGCTAAGGTTGGTTGAAAAGGTTTTGGGCGGCCAACAATTGCGAGATGAGGGAATAGATGAGCTGTGATATTTGGCGATTTTGTTTTTGGTTGGTTTGCTCTGATCCACTTTGGACTTTTCTAAGCTATTTGCGGTTTTGGCATTAGTGTTTTTCATTCCTTTGAGGTATTTCAGTGAAGCCTTGCCACGGGGCAGCGGGGTTCTCAGATACTCGCAGACCAGGTTAAGGCCAACACAATGCTGGCAGGGTTTTTTGCCGTCGCACTTGGTTCTGAGTTTGTTGCATCTATCGCAGGCCCGACTGGTTCGTCGTTTGCGCCCGTCCTTGAGGCTGGGTGTGGCCAGGGCGGGGGTGCGGTCTGTCGCGGATTTGGCCGAATGGGCCGAGTAGAGTTTCCGAGGCGATTCGACGGGCTGGGGTATAGAGAAAGGGGGGGCCTGTAGGGCAGGAACAAAGCCCGATTGGGCGCTGGTTGGGGCTGCCGGGTGGGTGTTGTAGAAATGCAAGTCGGGCGACTCGAGCGACTCGAGCGGGGCATGGTAGGACGGTTTATTTGGCGGGCGATAGGCGGGGTTGGGCTTGGGGCGCGAGTTGGTTTGGAGCAGGAGGTCGACTGCCAGGTTGAGTTCGGAGAGGACGGTGTTGTA